TTGGTCTCAAGAGCTTCACTGTGTTCAATGAAGAGCTGAGACAATTGTTTTTTAAGGTCAGTATTCTTAGAGATGACTGACAGCATCTCCTCTTCATTTTGTTCACTTTCTTGTAAAAGTATATCATATTTTTCGCGAGTATTTTTTAATTGTTCTAAAGCAATACGAAGCTGTTCATCAACCTGACGAGATTTGATGCTGCGAGTCATCATTTTAAAATAAATTACAATAAAATATGTAAAGAAAATTTACGAAGTTGCCGGTCAGATTACCCTCAAATTACAAAATATTACACACTCACCAAGCAAAATTACAATTAAATAACGTTTTAAAGCACTATTTATAATTTTACTTATTTATACACCTTTAACACTACTTTGATATGTTTTAATGATATTATGAAGTGTTAGTTTATTTTTAATTAATTTATTTACGGGAGCAGAGAAATCGAACCGAACACAACCGAACCTACCGACAGAATAGGTATTGAACTAACCTTTAACCCTATGTTAAAAAATATATGTATTTTTTTAAATTAAAAGAAGTAAATAATATTTTTCAAAAAATGTACAGATGTGCGATTTCATTGCACCCGAGTGTGTATATATATATTTAAGGGACTTCCGTATAGTTTTTGGGAACGCTAAGCGTGGCCTATCGAAGTTGAAGCGATCAAAACTCTGTAGCTCATCAAACCACGCCCGAGCTTGTGTGCTTAGTGCGAGGTTTTAACGTTCTCGATAGCGTGAAAGTTAACTCAATTTTGTATGGAGTTGGAACGTTTGCCTACGTTTGCCGCTATGGGCGCTGTTCTAACTGAATACAAATTTGAGTAGACTTTTACGCAATCGAAAACGTAAAAAACTCACACTAAGCACACTGGTATGCGTAATTCAACCGAGCGAGGCTGGCAATGTCATTATTTCCGGGCGGAGCGCATCCTTGCCCGCCATTTTAGTTTTACGGGGCGCCGGCATATCGGTCGACAAGACAACGACGCCTACTCGTAACCACGGGATGCCCCACTGATTCGAAACAAGCGTGGGTGGGGCATTGTGGTCATCCGTCACCTTTCTACATACCGGCTGTCAAGCTCTTTTTCCGACATCTTGAATTTGCCTCGTCGGTACCCGACTCGCCGGTCACAGGTTGGTGCGGAGAGAGAAGAACGCTTCCTCTCACGCTCCATCACAAGCTTCTGCAAGACGATGCACTCGTAGAGTTTCGCTACGTAGCATTGCAGCCATGAGGTTCGTCAGCGTCAAACCTGTAGCGAGTTGTGCGATGAAGCCACGGCGCCGCTGTAAGCTTTTACTAAGCTCCGTCCAAATTGCATCTATAATCACGGCATTCTGTCGTCGTTGGCTTAACTGCAATCCGGTGCTGGTATTCCTCAAAGCGACTGTTAACTCGCTCTTGGATAACAAACAAACTTCGGTAGTGAGTGAGTTATTTGTCGAAGTGGTAAAGAGACAAGATGGCGACGCTTTGATCTATTGTTCTTCAGGCGGAAGATATGTTGTAGGGGGCCACAACTTCTGCGCAAAATTGTTATTGACTAGTTTTAATTTTTACTATACATACGATAGTGCCGTAATTCTGATACAGACCATCTGGGATACTTCACTTCTATCGCATCATACCACGACCGAAATTCGAAATTTTTGACGATCCAATCTTAGTTAATAAAAACATAGGTCACGTAAGCAATAACGTTTATAAATCATTTCATTGTTTTCTTCAACAGTCCACCAAACCCGCGTCCACCGGTGACCTGATGGCTGACCTCCACGCGAAACTGTCGATGCGTCGTCGCGGCATCTCTGGCGCTGAACGCGCAGGCGGCTCCGTACTCCACACCCTCGCCAGTATAATACCGGAGCCCGGAGACCAGTCGTCACCGCAACATTCCTCCGGCGACGAAGACTGGGATTAAGAGGTTCATTAACGTGTTTTCTTTTTACTAAGTGTGCAATGTAATGTTGTAATGTACCGTATACCTACCTCTCTGTCTTTAACTGCAAACGTATATTTGAAGCCGTCATCGTAAAAGTGGCCTAAATCACGATTTTTCACATTCGCGCCTTATACATTTTCGATTTATTTAAAACAATAAATTTTGATGCAAAACCGGCCTATCCCTAGTTTCACCCATAGATAACAGTATGCTTAGTGCGAGTTTTTTAACAGCGCCCCTAGGGGCAAACGTAGGCAAACGATCCAATTCCATACAAATATGAGCGAGCTAACTTTTACGCTATCGAGAACGTTAAAAAACTCGCACTGAGCACACTGACGGCTTTGTAAACATTATTTTTGCGCGTATTGTTTTTGCCTACGATACGAAGCGGTGTAAAAGTATATTCAAACATAATATATCTATAATAACTATGGTAAGCTTAGGCCCCTTTTGCGCTGACGGTCTCATTTATTCGAATATAAATGTTGAACTTTTAGAACAATGTTGAAGACAAATGTTATCATAAAGTGGGTATGCTAATCGAGAGATAGGTTGGGTTTTAGGAAAATTTCCGAAATTATTCAAAACTTCGTAAAAGTTTACCAATTTTAATGTAATATTAATTCAAAATGTTCGAGTATTCCTAAAACATCATCCATTATTAATTAAAAAATAACATTTGATAACCTTTACATATGTATATTATGTTACGAAATTATTTTAATACTTACGATTTCTCAGAAGACATCGTACGAAATGAGTGCTCATAATTAAAACTTTGAAGGCGTCTAGATCGTCGTATCAAGAGAACTGATGCGTATTAGATTTCTAATTAAACGAATACTATTCGTATATGGAAAACTATTTTCTGTAACTTTTTGGGTTTCACAATATTAAAACGCGAACGTTCGTTGAAAACAAAATTGCGTCGTGAATTTTACAAATTTCATTTTATTGAGATTCCGAGAAAAATCAGTGAGCCGATTGTTTGCAAACGAATCAAAATCAAAGTACGGATTGCGGCAACGCTGTATTGTAGTTTTTTTTTTAAATACATAAATTCGTCTAACAACTAAATGTAATTTAAAAGTTCCGGGAAAGCGTAGGTGTTACATTAAAAATCGATTTTGCTTTTTGTAATGTAAAGATTTCGTAATTAGTATTTGCAGAGTTGGTAAATCATTCGATTTAACGGTTTTGAAAGAAACAGCGCTGATTACGACGGGTAGCGCGGGCCATAGTTACAAAAAAAACCTAATCGACTTTTAAATATTTTTTTACGAGGATCCTAATGGAAGTCTTTGAGTTGATATAAAACATCTAAACAATAATAACATCGGTACTGTAGTTTTCCTTCACTGCTAGGTACAATCTATCTCGCGTCAAACATTATATTCTGGGAAATGTAATTTTGCAAGATTACCTTATCACGCGTAAATAATAAAATCAACGCTTTTTCCTCATTGCAGTAATACGTAATCAATTTTGGTATAAAATGTACGATCAATATTATACCCTCATAAATCAACTGTTCAAATAAAAATTCAAACATGAATACTGGAAGTAATAAAGTCGCCGCAAAAAATGGTCATCCTTTATTAATGATAATGGTATTATTAAACGTTCGTACAATGATTAATGGTTTAATATAAATATTAATACGCTTTTTTTTTATTTCCGTTGAATTAAACGCTTGCTTATCCGGCGCTATAATAAAACAGAAATTATGAATTCCTTAAATCTGAATGCTGTACGGATCGGTTGGGACACCGCGCGAGGGCGTTGTTACGATAATCACGTTTCTTACTAGTCGTCCGCTATCTCTTTCGTTTTCTCGGAAGGAGCTCGCTTGAATGTGTGAAGTCTTCCCCGCAAACTAGCAACTGGTTCCGCAGATTATTAGCGTTTCCAGAATTATTGTTTTTAATGTAGAACGCGAAAATTTTTTTTCCTACGCTGATAGCCTTGAGGGGCTATTTCAGCTTCACCCTAACGTTTGTAGGTGAGCTCACGGGGCTCGAACCGGAGTGTTGCTAACACTGACCCTAGCAAGAGCAGTGCTTCGCAGAATCTACCACCGGATCGGAAACGCGACCCACTGAGAAGATCCGGCGAGAAACTCTGGACTGTGTCTATGGGTTAATTCGCTCGTCGAGCCCTTCGTCGCAAGCGACGGATTCGACAAGGACGGTGATCGGGGACGCGATAAATGTCGATAACTCGACTTTATACTTTTACGGTGTTGCTGCAATCGGACCTTCATTTTTCTAAAAAAAACAAATTTTCTAAGTATTGGCGGAAATCGATTTCAACGTAACATTGGAAATGATAACAAAATAGTATGTAATTCATATAAAAATGTCGTTCTTAAAATATATATAAAAAAAATTGGAATGTATAGAAAATCGAGATAATGTTCTAACACTAATAAATACACTGATATAGTCCTTCAAATATTCAACGGGGTGTTTTCATCGGGGTAAAGAGATCAAGAGTTTTCTTCGCTGCAGTATTTTTTTTTGTTTCGTGTGCTAATGAAATGTAAGGATAGCGAATGTAGGTTGTTAGAAACATGTGATGAGATGTGCCTATACACGGAGGTGCTAATTAAATGTTCCAGAACTGCTATTGTTGGTCTCTCAATACGATTTTAATCTATTTTTCGTCGCAATGCTAATGCAAAGATATCAGTTACGTAGGTACCTAGGTATGTGTAGGTTAAAAATGCCTAATTTTTTTTTTAAACCGTCACTGTCAAATTGAGTACGTAATAAAAGTTCACTCGGTTTTTTCTCCACTATTTTTTGGAAATATACGTAAAAATATATGTTGGTTAGTTAACTATGTGTAATTAGTTTAAAAATGCCAATTTTTTTCCCACTGTCACTGTCAAATACGTAATACGTAATAAAAGTTCAACTCGGTTTTTACCCACTATTTTTCGGAAATATTCGTAAAAAAAAAATGTTGATCACGTAACTATTTGTACTTGGTTTAAAAATGCCTAATTTTTTTTTCAATGTCACTGTCAAATTAAATACGTAATAAAAGTTCACTCGGATTTTTTAAAAAAATACATTACTAAACTCATTATGATTTTTTTCTAAGAACAAAGATTGCTGTGGCTGAGATTTTTGCACAAGTAGGAGCACGATCGGTTCGTATTATATACCTAAAAAATAAAGTTATTTGTTTATACATATATGAACTGTAATGAAGGTGAAATTGATTGGTTCAAAATCATGAGACTGTCGCATGTTCACGAAGCGAAATCTTTTTTAATCGTTTTAAAAGATAACCTCTAGTGGGGTGATATGACAAGTGTTTTGGATGTTTATCGCTTAAGAATTGAGGAAAAAAACAAAAAAAATCGGTTGTCTGTAAAGTCGGCTTACTGACGATAGTTGAACGTGACAACGTCATAAGAAAATACTGATGGAATGGTTTCATTTTTCAATTATCGCAATCATCGTTGCTATAAACAGTTGACACCACATTCACTTTTCACTGAACTTCATACTTGACGAAAACATGTAAATGTATTATTGTATAGCAGCTCTCCACGCGGATGCATCGCTCACTCAAGTAGGAGAGAGACAGATGTCGAACGCTGACGAACGCGGAGGCCGATTGTGCCTCTTTGTCGCTCGTTGCGCGCTCTCGCTTGCACTTCAAGTCTTAAATGGAACGCCTCAGAGCGAGGTAACGCCGCATGAGTCATGTTTTTTCGTGCTTGCAGCCGGCTCCATCGAATTATAAGACGTTGTCACGTCAAAAACGTATGACATTAATGTAACGTTCCCGTTCCGTGTGATATTTGTGTTTGATTACGAAGCGACTTGAACATTCGATGATAAAATTCTTTTAGGACAATAATTTTGTGAAAGAAATTCGTAAAGTAAAATAAATCCGAATTCACGTTACAAAAGGATTTCAATTTATGTTTAAAAAAAAAACCAAACCAGTGTACAAGTTAAAAAAAAATGTTATGTGTTTTGTAAAATGTGTATATAACGTCACTTCGCATAAAATTTGAACTTTAAATGATATTTATTGCGTGTTAAGGAAACAGCAAAACATGTTTATGGTTAATCTAATCAAAACACAAAACCGCTTATTTTGCGATATAAATTCGACGCATGTCAAACAGGTAGGTACGCTTTCGTGAATGTCACTGGAATAATATAACGATCGATTTATTTATTCACACAATACGTATTCAAACATACGTATAATATCTCGATATTTCCTTTGCACACAAAAATTGTCGCCTCTAAAAACTGTAAAATCGGCGTTGTTCTCGAAAGATTATAAATAGACTTTAATAATTTCGATTGTTCCATTCTAAAATTAGTAAACGTCGCGCCGCCATGATTTGTAATAAACAAAATACACAAATAAAGCATTTTAATAATATCCACACATAGGTATAAAATCGCGTGGGGTAAAATCACACGCAGGACGCTTTTTTTTTATTCCCTGCCTATGCTGATAGCCTTGAGAGGCTATTTTAGCTTCGCCCTAACGTGTGCAGGTGAGCTCACGGGGCTCAAACCGTAGTGTTGCTAACACTAACAAGAGCAGTGCTTCGCAGAATCTGCCACCGGATCGGAAACGCGACCCACTGAGAAGATCCGGCGAGAAACTCAGTGGGTTGTGTCTATGGGTTAATTTGCTCGTCGAGCCCTTCGTCGCAAAAGCACCGTTAATGGATCAGGAGGGGCAGGACGCGGGAAAAAAAAAATATTTTTAAAGTTTTTGTAAATGTTACGAATAATAGAATGATAATGGGAAGTACGTTTTGAAATAATGATACGGCTTTTACGATTTAATGTCGCGTTTGTATATTGAATTTTAAAGAAAATCGAAGATATAAAAAACCTACAAATACGCTTTTTTTTGTTAGGGACGCGCTTAAAAATAGAATATGAAGGGCGAAACGCGAAATCAAATGTTTTGTTGACAATATTGAAAAGATACTCTGTTAATAATAATATCGATGAGCGAAAGGCTATTTGGTCTAAGCGACAGTTTTTACATTTTACAGAAGAGCCATTTGAAGTTCAAAATTTGGAAAAAATATCATAACAAAAAAAAAAACTTCTTCAGCTATTTCGATGAAGTAAACTTAATTGAAGTTCAATTAAAAACTATCGAACTGTTGATGCTAATACCAAATAAAACGCTCCTTTTATTAATTGCCAAGATGAATGTC